GATACGGAACAAATTTATGAAAAGACTCCTTGATCAAACAAATCTTGGATATCTAAAGAACCCACAAAACTTCCCATCAAATTGCCTGATGGTAAAATAAGACATCAAGAGTCTAATAATGACTCTAGCAATGAAAATGGCGAAAAAAAAGAAAATTCATCTTCAGATAGTGATAATCTTGATGAGAATCTGCAAGATGACATGAAGGCTAATGAAGCAGATGAGGATGTTGCCGAATTCATTTCCATACAAAATATATCAAGCAGTAATGATATCACTCAGAAGAAAGAAGAGTTGGCCACAATAGCCCAAATGGTTATTGAGGACCCGGAAAATAACGTAATTCAATTTTAAATATCTACATTTGAGCTTTTTTATGATTTAAATATTAAATTCGCAATAATAATATAAGACCAGGCAACTTAAAATTTTGAGAGAAATTGCGACGAGTAATGATCTAACAATCAAGAAGTTGGCAATATTGACCCAGCTTGTAGTATATAAAGATATCATTCCTGGGTAGGGCTTCGATATGTACCATGTTCGTCTTTAATGTATTTGGACTTTTAGATAAATCATAAATTTCAACCTTTATAGTTATCGGATACGACAATTGACTGATCAAGAAAAGGCTACAAAGGTTAAATATTTGTTATGTATAAATGACATTTTGTTGTAACATTTGTTATAACGATTTGAAATAAACAAAGGTTTCCGAAGAAGTCAGAAAATTGCGGCATTTTGAACAAAGTCTTATATCTAATTATCAGGCTTATTTAAGATCTCTGGAAACTGAATTAAAAGGTATGATTATCTGTTATTTATTCTCACAACGCAGGCTTGTGTTTCTTCTTTTAATTTTGACTTTCTTCAATTATTTGCCAAGAACACACAATTGCAGAGACAGCATTAAAATGTATGTGTGATCTCTTGATATCAGTCACACATTTTAATTTTCGATTGAATTTGATGATGACTATTGTGAGCAGGATGAGTACTGCCAAATTCACTAAGGTTCATCTCGAATATCTTCATATTTTGTAATATCATTATATGTATTCATATCTTTGCTATTATTTCAGATGTCTGCGATGTGTTGTGATACGATAATTGAAGTCTTTAAAAATGATGAGTCCGGCGAAGCAAGTTTGGATGCAGTTAAATTAATAACTAAGATGATTAAAACCAAAAGCTATGTTGTGCACGAAGAGGTAGATTATTTATTATTTACCAAAAAATTTTTAATAACATTTCTAAGAGGGTTTTGGTTTATCATACATAGGTTTTAAATACTTTTTTGCACCTCCGACTAAAAGAAGAACTAAGTGTAAAAGCATTAAATAATAAGGATTCCGTTAATATTAAAACCAAAGGTAAAAAGAGGAAGTTTGATAAACAAGGATCAAAAAAGCATTTGTCAAAAAAATTGAGAAAATTGTATAAAGAGAGAAAAGAAGTTGAAAAGGAAATGAAAGAGGCTGAGGCCGTTGTGAATAGAGAGGAAAGAGAAAAAACGGTAGGTTATTTTCATCAATGATGATGGTTTCATGCTATATTACTTATTCACGTGCTATATATATATTATATCAGCAAACTGAAACATTGAAATTGATCTTTAATACCTATTTTCGAATATTAAAACATGCCAATTCATCACCACTTTTAGTTTCTGCTTTGGAAGGATTAATAAAGTTGTATCAATATATAGATTATTTTATTTTTATTTTAATTTTTTTTTTGTTCTTTGGTTATTTACTATCTATATTCATCATGTACACTTATATGATTATAGGTTCGCGCATCTTATCAATGTTGATTTTTTTAATGATTTACTAGAATTGCTCAAAAAGATAATGGTTGGTTCACAAATTGAAGACGATAATAAAAATTCTAGTAGAAGAGTGGATACAAGGAGAAGCTTATTGTGCATAATAACTGCATTCCAATTACTTTCTGGACAAGGTACATATTAACATATTTACCCATAAAATTTTTATTATCATCATTTATGTTTCTTTTCATTTAATAGGTGAAGCACTTAATATCGATCTGAAAGATTTTTATACGCAAATGTATAAAATATTAATGCCACTTGCACTAAATCCATACATGGAACAAAATGAAAATAAAAGAATGCAAAAGACAATAAGGAATGATAATAAAGCCGAAATCAAAGATAGTAATAACATCAATTTGTTACCGGAACAACAGTTATTAATGGATGGATTTGATTACATGTTTTTTAGGAGAAGAACGGTGAGTTTTCAAAAATTTTTATATAATTAACCACTCATTGTTTATTTTATGTTTATGAAGCTGTTTGTATTTCAGATTCCCATTGAAAGATCTGCAGCATTTTTGAAACGGCTCTCAATTTCATGTTTAAATTGGCCGAGTAAAACTGTATTAATATGTCTAGAAAAAATGCAAAAAATGATTCAGGTGTGCCATCATTACTTTGTACCTAAATTATTGTTAATACCGCTTTCTTAAGATTTACGTTATTATAAATAATATCAAAGAGACAATCACGATTAGATTCACTATTGATATCAGATGATAGACTTTGCAATGGAGTATATCGCGCAGACTTGGACGATCCTGAATTATGCAACCCATTGGCAACCAATTTATGGGAGTTGTGTTTGTTAGAGGTAATTTGAAGATACTGAATTTTTTCTTTTAAAAGCGATGTTAAATGCAGAATTCAAAATTATTTTATTATTTTTTTAATTCCATTAGAATCACTATGATCCAAAAGTACGTGCTATGGCAACTTCATTAGCAACTTTTATACCGAATAATGAGAAATCTGTGTAACAATTTTGGAATGTTAAAATATCAGTCTGTGATTAGTTCTATTAAAAACTTTTGCACATATTTAATTTTTTATATAATCGATCATAGACCAGATGACAATTTTAACTTTTTGTATATAATGTTTCTCTGTTAGCGCTAGACTGTAATTATTTTTAATGCTATTGGAATCAAGTATATACAATTATTTTTTTTTTTATTAAATTAAAATATCTTAACGACTATTGTCAGCCCACCCAAAACCGACAACCTGCCATAAACGATTAAAATTTGATTCAACCTAAGTTTCCGATATGTTTGATTATTGTCGTATGAGACAGCCAATCAAATAAATGATGAGTATATGAGTGGCGCAGATTCCTGTGCTACAGTACCGGACAGCTAATATGTAGCGAGTGTCGTAATAAATGCCCAAGGTCATAATTATCGTCGTAGATTATAATGAATGTCGTAGGTTGTAATACTTGTCTTATTGTATAAATCCACTAATTAGAATGTTAAGAAGTTCATTTATATTAAGCATTTACAAGTTGTTACTAGAATTAGAAAAGCTAGATAAAGCTTAGTATAGAGAAATGGATTTTGTTTTGAACATATTATTAAAGAAAAAGGAATCTTAAACCTAAACAAGATAGCTGTTATACAAAATATTTACTATCAACAGTGTTACCTAATTTAAATTCTTCTTAGAACTTGCTAAATATTACTAATGATTTATTAAAAACTTTTCTTCTATTACTCAACCTTTAAATCAACTACTATATAAGAACAATCTATGTGAATAGAACTTTAGTTATCAAAAGCTTTTGATAAACTCAAATTAAAATTAGTGATTACTTTTATACTAATTTACTTTAACTATAAAAAAGAGTTTATACTAGTCACTAATGCTTTTTATATCAAATTTAAAGCTACTTTAAATCAAATCTCAAATAATTAAAATTTTAAAATTATTAAAAATTTAAAGTTTTAATAATAAATATTTTTTAATTTATATAATTAGAAATTTTAATATATATATTTTATAATATATAATTTTTACTAGAATTAAAAAATTTGAGTTTTTTTTAATAAAAAAATTTTTTAAAAAATATTTTATATAAGTTGAATATAAATATTATAATACAGAACTAATTATAATATACATATAATATCTTGTAATCCAGGGATTATAATTAGATAATTTTATTACCATCTGATTCATCTTATTAAGATGAATTGAATGGTATTAAAATTATTCAATTCTGATTACTAGATTATAAAAAACAATTATTTAAATAAAACAAACAAATTTTTTATTTATAAATTTTAATATAAACAATCATAATACATTAATAGTAGGGTGTGGTGACTTAGTGAAGTGGTGAAGTTGTCGCACCCCCAAGCGGTAGAGTATAAGTTCAATTCTCACGGAAGGTGAAAAATTGAATTTAGAAAAACGGATTCAGCAACTATCGTCATGGCTGGGAAAACTCGAGACCCTGTAACTGTGGTCATACCAAGATAAAAATTGGAAGGTTCTGGGACATTTGTGTAATAAATAAGTTATACAAAGGCATGCAAGCCGGTTTAGTTGGTGCAAACCCAAGATAAGTCCTTCGGAATCGCAAAAAGCCACAGAGCCAATACGGCGGTAGAGCGTTCACTTGGGAAGTCCCGAGTAGAGAGGTGCACAGATTTTTGACGGTACTACATGCGGATCACTATCTGGAGAACTGGATAAACTGAATGGGACCAAAGTGTTTGGCAAGGCACTCCACCAACCAGGCCACCAGAAGAGTAACCGAAGGAAAAGGATCCAATCATGAGAACCAGGGGCAGGTCACAGCCCTTCCGGGCCATCTGGATTGGTAGTTTGAAATTGATGAGATGACCGGGAAAAGTTTGTAGGTGTACTGGGGTTTGGGTAAACTCTATAAGGGCAGTAGTAGGTAACGGTAGTGGCTTCAGCTTGCAAGTACTTGGCCTCAGCCTAGGCATAAGTTACCGAAGAAGACTAGGTAATACAAGAATAGTGGGTACTGGACTACTCTAGCAGGTAATGCACTCGAGGATGAATCGGTTAACTATGCCGGTAGTCCTATAGGTGGATGCGACGATCCTGGAACTTGGACTGACTTATGTATTGCATATTCTGAATGAGGTTAGATGAATTGACATAGGAAACTCAGATCAGAGGGTTTAATCGGGTAGCTCAAGTAATAGTGAGTTACAGATACGGCATCTAGTATAGCACATAGTACATAGGTAGTATACTTAATTAGGCATTCAAAAGGTGCAGATATGGCTAGAATGTATCTTCATCCGAAAGTACTTGTCTGGGACCCTTTGATAAGGGCACCACATGATCCTAATATCTAATAAAAGCGATAAAGCCAAAGAGGCTAATCTTGACTATAAAAAAAAAAAAAAAAAAACATTAATAGTAGATTTTTTTATTAAGTAGATGATCTTTCTTATTAAGACAATTTTGTTCACTATAATAAATTCTAATTATTTCTAAATTTTTATTAAAAATAGTGTAATATAATCAATTTTTTTTGATATTAGG